CAGACTTTCCAAATGTCCCTATTTTCCAGAGACAGACCCAGATTTAAAGAAGCCATCCCAGTTTCGGATTTGATCCCGGAATGTCCCGCTTCTCCTTAGGACATCCCTATTTTTATCAGAGAAATGTTGGAAGGTATGAAGTTATGCAACCCCCAAGCCAAGGAGATAAATAACTATACAGCCTTTAGAATACATTTGAAGGCAGCCCTATAGAGGGAAGTTGTTCAATGTTTAATGTTTTATTATGTCTTTATATAGGTTGGAAGACTACCAGGGTGGTTGGGGCACCATCTCAGTCAGATGGACGTGGTATAAATATTATTAGGATGGAATAGGATGTCCTTATTTTTACAGGAGAAATGTTGGGATATATGTACTTTCCCTCTCCCATTTTATCCTCACAATGACCTATGGTGCAGTTTAGACTGAGAGATAATGTCTAGCTCAGTGTCACTGCAGAGCAGAGAGGGACTGTGAACCCTGGTCTCCAAGTCTTAAAAAATGTAACTATTACATCAGACTGGCATCACAGCTCCCTCTTTCTTTCTTTCTTTCTTTCTTTCTTTCTTTCTTTCTTTCCCGCTCAAGCACAAGGCCTCAGGATACATATCACCTTGAGACTTCATCGCTTCCAGCCCACAAACAAGTACTTTTAGAACAGGGGCTGTGAAACACTATTTTTAGCTTCACGGGAAGAAGTAATTTCCGACATTACCCGAGCGAAGGAGCACAGAGCCAAATCGTTTCCTCAAAGGAAAGCACCTGATCGCTCCTTCAGAGGAGCATTTTATCTGGCACGGTGCCAGGGTGAAACCCTGATTGCTTCCATTAGCCTCGTGATGGAGAGATCATTACCAAGCGAGCTCCACAGGGCCTGAAGAAAAATGGAAGTTGTTGCCAAAAAAAAAAAAAAAAAAAAGGGAGAGGGGAATGTAAGAACGAGGAAAGGAAACAAGCTACCTTAATGAAGAACTCCAATTTCAGTTTGAAATCGCTGACTGATTGCAACTTGTGTTTTGTGTTTGTATGTAAAAAGGGGCTTGGGAGGAAAGCAATGACAAACCTAGACAGCATCTTAAAAAGCAGAGACATCACCTTGCCAACAAAGGTCCGTATGGTTAAAGCTATGGTTTTCCTAGTAGTGATGTATGGAAGTGAGAGCTGGACCATAAAGAAGGCTGATCGCTGAAGAATTGATGCTTTTGAATTATGGTGCTGGAGGAGACTCTTGAGAGTCCCATGGACTGCAAGAAGATCAAACCGATCCTTTCTGAAGGAAATCAGCCCTGAGTGCTCACTGGAAGGACAGATCCTGAAGCTGAGGCTCCAATACTTTGGCCACCTCATGAGAAGAGAAGACTCCCTGATCTTCTTGCAGTCCATGGGACTCTCAAGAGTCTCCTCCAGCACCATAATTCAAAAGCATCAATTCTTCGGCGATCAGCCTTCTTTATGGTCCAGCTCTCACTTCCATACATCACTAACTGGGAAAACCATAGCTTTCACTATACGGACCTTGAGACCTATGAGTAGCCCTCGCTACTCCTTCTCAAAGCCCTGCGTCTCATTTACTTTGCTGCTTTGTAACAGTAGCAATGCTCTCCTCCGGAGGCTGAAGCAGAAAAATTGTAGGCAAGATGGAAATAAAAGAATGCACACATTTCTTTACAGTCCTAATTGCAGAAGATCATGGATGAGTATGGAAATGACCGTGTGGAACCTTATGAGGACAACTGTCGACAAATGGCAAGTTGTTTTCCTGGAAGAACTGTAGTCAGAGAGGCCTGTCTGAAACCAACAGAGAAAATAGTCATCTCCTTTCAGAAATGAGGCTGTCAGTGTGCATGTTATTGGATTGTTCAAGCTCATCTCCAGGGAAATTACTTGAGAGCGCGATGAAGAGGTCACTGATAAGGGCGCTCGGGGGGAGATGGTAACAGACAACCTGTGGTTAGAAAATCCTGCATTCAAACAGATCGTTCCAGTCTGAATTATAGCTTCGAGTTTTCAAAAAAATAGACATTAAGGCTAGAAAAGAAAGAACTGCCATGTAATTCACAGTCATCAGCCTTCTTCAAGCATTCATATCCAGCATAGAGGACATAAGGAGAGCTTTCCTGGATCAGGCGAAAGCCCCATCTAAGTCCTACAACTACTTCTTACAGAGGAGACCCAGATGTGAGCAGGACCTGAATGCAACAGTGCTCACCTCACTTGTCATTCCCAGTGATACAGTTCCTCAGAATTCCACCAGGGGGCTGGAGCCTCTCTCTGATTGGCTACCAAGACAGCTAGACATAGGGGGGTGGAGCCGGAGGAGAATAAAAGGAGCCGTTTCTGAGAGAGTGTTCAGATAGGGTTTAGTTTGAGAGGGAGATAGGGTGATGGTTTAAGAGAGAGAGTGTTGGTTCTGGGCTGAAATGTCCACTTGGAAGAAAATATCTACAACTAGGGAAAGGAGACTCTGAGCTTTGATTGAAGGACTGGGAGAGTATTTATTCAGACAGGAGTTAACTGGGAGGCAGAGTTTGAGCAACATGATTTGAAGGTGTGGGACACAGTCTACTTGGGTCTCATTCTCCTTCATATGTCATTTTGCTTTTCTTTTGTTCTTACCTCCACTACAAGCTTGTTTGATGTATGACAATATTGGCTGAAAAGTGTAATAATATAGCATTAATATTATTATTTTTTAAAGGAGTTCCATTCAACCCAGTTGAGCTCACCTTAGCGAAAAGTAATTGCTGTGTGAGAGAGATTTTCATGGGGATTTCAGCTGCAGAGGTAAAGATTAAAATATCTCCACCCATCTTATTGCAGTCCTGATGGAAATTGCCACAAACACAAGGGACTGAAAGAGTCTGAGGACGGGAAATGTATGAAGAAATTGTAGGCTTGTGAAGTAACAGAGTAGCAGGTGTGAGAGTGCATATTCAAGCAAAAGAAGAGATGACGGACAAAGGAGATTAGTAGGATCTACACATTTGTAGACTGAATGAAGGAGCATTGAAATGAACACACTAAAAAGCAAGCAAGCAAGAGGAAAATGGGTGGGGAGGACAGGAAGGAAGAAAGAAGGGAGAAGTAGATAAAGGAGAGCAGTAGAATGAAGAGGAGTCTTCTCTAGGCTAAACATACCCAACTCCCTCAATCATTCCTCGTAAGGCTTTGTTTCCAGACCCTTGATCATATTGGTTGTCCTCCTTTGCACATGTTCCTGCTTGTCAATGTCCTTCTTAAACTGTGAGGCTCAGAACTGGACATAATACTCCAGGGGGCATCTGACCAAGGCAGAAAAGAGTGATAATATGACTTCCCTTGATCAAATCAGCATACTTTTTTCTGATGCTGCTTCTGCAACACAGTGTTGACTTGTGTTAAGCTACTAAGACCCCTGGATTCTTTCCACATGTGCTGCTGTCAAGCCAGGTGTCTCCCAACCTATTTTAACCTACCTCACAAGGTTGTTGTGGAGCTTGTAAACCACCTTGAGCTCCAGGGACAAAAATTTGGGATAGAAATGCAATAAATAAACAAATGATAAATAATATCTGTGCACCAACGTTTTCCCCTGTTGAAATTCATTTTATTAGTTTTGGTCCAGTTCTCCAAACTGTTAAGAAAATCTTGAATCCTGATTCTGTCTTCTGAGGTGTTACCCCTCCCACTTTGGTGTCATATGCCAATTTGATGACCATCTCGTCTATTATTTTATCAAATGTAAAGGTACCCCTGACCATTAGATCCAGTCGCGGACGACTCTGGGGTTGCGTGCTCATCTCGCTCTATAGGCCGAGGGAGCCAGCGTTTGTCCGCAGACAGCTTCCAGGTCATGTGGCCAGCATGACTAAGCTGCTTCTGACGAACCAGAGTAGCGAACGGTAACGCCATTTGCCTTCCCGCTAGAGCGGTACCTATTTATCTACTTGCACTTTGACGTGCTTTCGAACTGCTAGGTGGGCAGGACCAGGGACCGAACAACGGGAGCTCACCCTGTCGCGGGGATTCGAACCGCCGACCTTCTGATCGGCAAGCCTTAGGCTCTGTGGTTTAGACCACAGCGCTGCCTGCGTCCCCCTACGTCCCCCAAAGTAATTGGTAATTGGTAAATATGTTGAACAACACCAGGCCCAGAGCAGAACCCAGTGGTCCCTTTTTCGAGAATGATCAGGAATGAGTGGTGAGCACTCTGGGTTCAGTCAGTCAACTGGCTGTGAATCCACCTAATAATAACATCATCTAGTCAATATTTTACCAGCTTCTCCTCAAGAAGATCATGGGAGACATTGTCGAAAGCCTTCCTGAAACAGAAATACATGACATCTACAGTGTTCACCTGATCCACCAAACTTGTAGCTCTAGCAAAAGAAAGAAATGAGATTCATTTTGCATGACTTCTTTTTGAGAAACCCAAGCTAGCTCTTAGTAATTCCAGCATCCTTTTCTAAGTGCTTACAGACCCACTGTTTAATTATCTGTTCTAGGATCTCTCCTGGTATTGACGTCAAGATGACTGGTCAGTAGTTGCCTGGGTCCTCTTCATTTCCCTTTGGGGGGAAAAAGGTTCCTTCTCTGGCCATTCTAAGACTTCATTTTCCATACACAGGGTCAGGGTCAGGGTATCCAGAGGACTACTGCTCTAAGGCAAAGATTTGCATCGTAAACGCTATCATCATCATCATGATGTATATTCATTTTTAGATCAGCATAAGCTGATAACTGTAAGCTCAGTGTTCTTACCAAGAAATGAACTGGGGAAACCACCATAGATCTCTGTTGGATAATGAAGACCTTCTGTGGTGACGTGTCAAAGGTGTGGGATCTAATGAAAAGGTGGTGAGATATTTTGGCAAATGCAAGATGACTTCTAGACGGTGAAGTTGCCTCCCTCTAACCACTGAAGATTTCAAAGGGAATGGAGCCCTAATTGTTCTAAAGGTTCAACCTCTTCCCCTCAAAACAGAACAAAAGAGAAGCATCAGTGTCTCTCTTCAAGAAGCATGAAGCTATATATTGTGACTATCTGCCTTTTTTGCTTCTGCTTTGAGCCTCTTCATGGTAAGTGATCTCCACAGTCTCCTGGCAGCCATTTACTGATCAATTTACTAGTGGAAGGTTGTGTGGGGAAGAGGTAGAAGAGGAACACTGGTCAGAAAGCCTTGGTGGATAAAAGGCACCTTAACTTTCACGGTGAACGTTCCTGCGGTCTTTTAAATGTCTCTGTGGGAAGTGGGGAGTTATTATTTTGTCGTTTTGGTTTAATTATTTACTTGTGTTTTATTTTGTATTTTATTCTGTGAGCTTCCTGGAGATCTCTTGATGAAGGGCTGTATATAAATTTAAATTAAAAATAAATAAAAACAACAACTTTTTACATGGAAATACGTTAGTTTTGAACTGAACCACTGCTTAAATTCAAAGGATGGGTGGATTTCTGCCAACATCAGTTGGTGCTTACTGTGGTTTTTGAGGCAAAAAAGTAATGTATTTCCCCCCCTCCCTTTTTCATATACAAAGAAAACTAACCTTTATCTGTTTATGTACCACATATTGATAAACCTATCATTCAACAATGCTTGAAAAACCAACCATAGTTTTAAAAAAGCAGCGGTAGTCAAATATTTCATTATCTAATTAGTGATTCTGGAAATTTGGCTGTCTAGAAGTCAAGTCGAGCAGATTTTTTTGTCTTACTAAATAAGTCCTTTTTTTGAAGATGTAGCTAGACACCTTCCAGACAAATACAGTTTTTTTGGGTTTCCAATTGTGGCATAGCTCCCCATCCCTTATGACCTTTCCAATATGTCGGTTCTTTTGTTAAGTAAGTGTGATGTGTGCACATGGTTAGCGTGGTTCTCTCTGATTTTTGCAATAAGTTCTCCTGTGAAAAGTTGCTTTTCAGTAGGTATCCATTGCTTGTTCAGTACATTTCAAATTAATAAAAACACAGTGACTCCTTCCCACTTACTTCAGAACATATCTGTTGTTGCTTACCTTTCGTGCTTGGAACCTAGATATTTGAAAGACCTCCTTCTACTTTAGGAGCCTATCCAAATGTTATATTTCTCAGAGTTCCCTCTCAGGTCCACTGCCTCTGAGGTGGGGCATGTTAGACTGCAGAAAGGGTCTTCTCAGGTCACCATGAAATGTCTCCTCTAGGGAGACCCACCTGGTACCAAACTTGGTGCCTTTTCAGGTCAGGCTTTCCAGCATGTCATTTGAGCTGGTTTTAAATTTCTCACTCTTCTTCTCTCTTTGCTGTCTTAAATCCCACTATCGAATTTTATGTCTTCTTATTAATATTGTGAGCTCTGCTGGGAGCTGGTTTCAACTGAAGGGTGGCATGATTGCATTTTAAACAAAGAAATAAACAAATACATTAGGAGTTCATGTGCCCGACTCAGCAACTGAATTTTGGGACATCAGACAGGACTCTTTCACACTGCCCAACCCACCACACTCTCTTAAATATCAATATTTTATTAATCTTTTAAAGAGACAAAAACAAGAAGAGAACAGAAATAGAGTTGCCATATTTTGAAGAGCAAAACTTTTCACATTTGCCAACTTTTACTTTTAACTATGGATCACTATGACGACTCTACCCATGAAAAAGAGGACTTGTCCTGGAAAAAGAGGACAAATGGCAACCCTGCAAATTGTCCATAAACCTAGCCCTTATATAGAGCAAGGCACCTGAGAACAGCAGAAGGGAGACTCAGTGGAGGACAAAGGGCTTGTGTGAATAGTACATCCTCTGGGATTCTGTTTCCCTCTTGGCTGCCAAATAGCTCAGTCAGTTGAGCATGAGACTCACAATCTCAGTGTTGTGAGTTTGAGACCCACGTAGGACAATGAGATTCCTGCTACTTATTAATACTACTTATTAACACACAAGGGACGCGGGTGGCACTGTGGGTAAAACCTCAGTGCCTAGGGCTTGCCGATCGCATGGTCGGCGGCTCGAATCCCCCGGCGGGGTGAGCTCCCATCTTCGGTCCCAGCTCCTGCCCACCTAGCAGTTCGAAAGCACTCTTAAGTGCAAGTAGATAAATAGGTACCGCTTTATAGCGGGAAGGTAAACGGCGTTTCCGTGTGCTGCACTGGTGCCAGCTCGCCAGAGCAGCTTCGTCACGCTGGCCACGTGACCCAGAAGTGTCTCCGGACAGCGCTGGCCCCCGGCCTCTTAAGTGAGATGGGCGCACAACCCTAGAGTCGGACACGACTGGCCCGTACGGGCAGGGGTACCTTTACCTTTACCTTATTAACACACAATGTTTGCAGAATGAGAAATGTTTTCCATGGGTGAAAAAAAACACTGTTTTGTTTTTAGGTGGTGACTCCTGTTCATCATTTGCATCCAGCAGAGCATCGCTGAAAGGTACATACTTTTTTTTTTAGGGATGTTTGGATGAAATCAATCTAGCATGCCAAACTTTATTTCTGTTTTTACTGTTGCGCATCTAGAGATATGATACAAAAATTTAGAGGAAAGAAATGATGTCTACAATCCTGTATCACGTTAGGCTGTTTAAATCTCATGCAAAGTAAATGGGATTAAAGCAGCCTGTGTATGGGATTGGAGCAAAGGATAACAATCCAGTATGCATGTACAGTGGTACCGCAGCTTACATACGCTTCAGGTTACAGACTCTGCTAACCCAGAAATAGTGCTTCAGGTTAAGAACTTTGCTTCAGGATAAGAACAGAAATCATGCTCCGGTGGCGTGGCGGCAGCAGGAGGCCCCATTAGCTAAAGTGATGCTTCAGGTTAAGAACAGTTTCAGGTAAAGAACGGACTTCCGGAACGAATTAAGTACTTAACCTGAGGTACCACTGTATACTTAAGCACCACTGAAATCAACAAAGATTAAGCATGCCCGATTCTGAGCTAGATTGCACTTCACATGATTTAAGAAGATTCATAACCATGGACAAGGATCTGACCAAGTCAGTTTTAAACTTTGAAATATCATCCAGAAGATCTGTTCAGAATAAACTATTTTGGCTGGTATTTCATCACATTTATAAACTGCAAGTTTGCAGCCTTCAGACTGGGTCATCAAATGATGGAGCTCAGTCCCTGGCAAGGGCACAGAAGAGCAGAAAACTGAGAGTGAAAGACTTAGAAGAACTTTAAAACTTTCTAAGGCAAACGAATGGGACGCGGGTGGCGCTGTGGGTTAAACCACAGAGCTTAGGACTTGCTGATCAGAAGATCGGTGGTTCGAATCCCAGTGATGGGGTGAGCTCCCATTGCTCGGTCCCAGCTCCTGCCAACCTAGCAGTTCGAAAGCACGTCAAAGTGCAAGTAGATAAATAGGTACCGCTCCGGCGGGAAGGTAAACGGCGTTTCCGTGCGCTGTTGTGGTTTGCCAGAAGCGGCTTAGTCATGCTGGCCACATGACCCGGAAGCTGTACGCCAGCTCCCTCGGCCAATAAAGCGAGATGAGCGCCGCAACCCCAGAGTCGGCCATGACTGGACCTAATGGCCAGGGGTCCCTTTACCTTTACCTTTTTAAGGCAAACAAATGCTTGCTAAAATTAAACTATACAGGGGTGGCCAACTCCCAAGAGACTGTGAACTACTAGCAGTGACCTACCCCCTTTTTGGGGGTTCAGGGCAAAGTTACTGAACTTTTTTTAGGGAGTAAGAAAGGAGGAAAGCCCCATTTTTGGGGAGATCAAGGCTAAGCTCTTGGGAGGGAGAAAGGGGAAGAGCTATTCACAGATTGCTGAGGAAACTCCATCTACTGAGTAAACTCCATCTTCCATTCTGCAGAACAATGGAGGGCGGGGTGAAGAGGTGGGGCAAATTCTATTTTACCAACGCTAAGGAAAGGGACCCAGTGATCTACCAAAACCTCCCAGGGATCTACCAGTAGATCGCGATCGACCTGTTGGATATCCCTGAACCAAAAAAATTACGAACATCATCATCATGATTAATAATAATTTCATTTACATGCTGCCCTTTATCAAAAGATCGCAGGGTGATGTACAACATTAAAAACATATTTCATGGAGCAAAATAATAAAACAACAGTGAAATCAAAGGATGGTAATAGATAGCGTAATAATAAAAATAGCCATTAAAATTCAAATGACTTTTTGCTTACGCAAACCAGTTGAGCAGATTGGGAAGATTTCACTGGAAATTCTTGGCAGAGATAGTCAAGATCAGGGGTAAGCAACCTTTTTCAGCACGGGGCCAGTCTACTGTCCCTCAGACCTTGTGGGGGGCCGGACTATATATTTTTTTTGGGGGGGGGAATGAACGAATTCCTATGCTCCACAAGTAACCCAGAGATGCATTTTAAATAAAAGGACACATTCTACTCATGTAAAAACATGCTGATTCCCGGACCGTCCATAGGCCGGATTGAGAAGGCGATTGGGCCGGATCCGGCCTACGGGCCTTAGGTTGTCTACCTGTGGCCAAGATGGTTGCCTCCAGATGTTGTGGACTACAACTCTCATCATCCCTGGTCATCCTAGTTGGGGCTTATGGGAGTTGTAGTCCATCTTATTGGGTATCCTGGCCGTAGGTGGGCATAGATATTCCTGCTGCTTATGGTAGCTCATGATGCACATGCTATAAGACCAGAGAAAACATCAGGGATGGGGTGTCTAGAAAGAGCATAACTCCCCTCTTTATCGTTCCTCTCTTCCTCAAATGTTCTTCTTTTTAATAAAATAAAATAAAATAGAAGAACAGATGCTTGTACTTCCAATGGGATTTTTCTTTTATATGCTTATTGTGAACAATTTCATTCTCTCTCCACTTCCAGGGAATCTTACTGCCTCCAGTGATGAATTTCCGAGAGAGAACTTCACATTTGACTGCCCTTTGCCACATAGTGCTGACATCTTCCATATAAAACTGTTCAGAGGGCAGCACAAAGAAAAAGTCTGTGATCTCTACATAGAAAAAGGGAAACCACGCATTAAAGGGAGTGACATTTGTAATCCAGTGCATTCCGGTGATAAAGTGTCATTTGTTCTCAGAGATTTGAAAAGCAAACATAGTGATACCTACATCAGCTGCCTAGAAATCTATGCTCCTGTCCCTCATTGCTGTGAAACAATTGAAAAACATCTATATATCCAAGGTCAGTAGACTGCTTTATCTTTGTTGTCTAAGTGAAAAAATGAGAGTCCTGCTAGTCATTCATCTGTGATAACAGATACACCTTATGTTGTTGTTTAGTTGTTTAGTCGTGTCTGACTCTTCGTGACCCCATGGACCAGAGCACGCCAGGCACTCCTGTCTTCTACTGTCTCCCGCAGTTTGGTCAAACTCATGCTGGTAGCTTCGAGAACACTGTCCAACCATCTCGTCCTCTGTCGTCCCCTTCTCCTTGTGCCCTCCATCTTTCCCAACATCAGGGTCTTTTCCAGGAAGTCTTCTCTTCTCATGAGGTGGCCAAACTATTGGAGCCTCAGCTTCAGGATCTGTCCTTCTAGTGAGCACTCAGGGCTGATTTCCTTCAGAATGGATAGGTTTGATTTTCTTGCAGTCCATGGGACTCTCAAGAGTCTCCTCCAGCACCATAATTCAAAAGCATCAATTCTTCGGCGATCAGCCTTCTTTATGGTCCAGCTCTCACTCCCATACATCACTACTGGGAAAACCATAGCTTTAACTATACAGACCTTTGTTGGCAAGGTGATGTCTCTGCTTTTTAAGATGCCTAAAGTCTAGAAAGTTAAATCACCCTTCCAGTATAGAAGGATTTCTATACTGCATTTTTTTAAAGTGATATATGAGGTGGAAAATTTGTCTCTTGGCTTATTAATATGTTTTTTTTGGGGGGGCAGTGTGGCATTATGATGGTAAACCTACAATTCGAATTTACCAGTCAGATCTACTGTGTTGGGAGGAAAACTGCCACATTTCCCCCGAGGTTCATGAGACTAGAATGGTGGCCAGTTCTACAGCTTTCTCTGTGCCCCCCCTTCCCTCCATCTGTGACTGTGGCCTTACCCTCATGAGGGATAGGTGTGGCTGGTAGAGGTGCAGTGAAAATTTGATTCAGTTTGCATTTAAAGGTGAATTGATTGAATTCACACCTCCCCAAACCATACTCCAACCAAATTCCAAGCCATTGCTTGAAATTTGCACTTCAGCGAACGTTGCGATGCAGTTCTTCTGTCAAACAATGTTTAGCAAGATGCATATATCAGGGGAAAGTTGGCATGAAAATGACTATATTAGTAATACGAAATTAGGGGAAACTGCTTGAAAAAAATGTGTACATTAGTCGAAACCGCCCGGGAGAAATTTAGTATGCATTTAGTAAGGCTGTTGGATTTTCATGAGGATTTTTAAACTAAAGAACTGAGTTTAAGATTGGAGAAATCACAAAATGAAATGGCAGATCCTTCCATCCCTAGTCACTAGGGCTAAGGAAGACTGGCAAAGAAAGAAGGAAAGAAGGAAAGAAGGAAAGAAGGAAAGAAGGAAAGAAAGAAAGAAAGAAAGAAAGAAAGAAAGAAAGAAAGAAAGAAAGAAATGTACAGACAATAGTGGTTGATCTTAGGCCCGAAGATCTAATAAAAACTAATTATTTATATTTTTTTTCAGAAGATGCAGAAGATTCAAAAGTTTCAGAAGATTCAGAAGTTTCCTGCTTGTTCTCAGAATCTGCATCATGGATACTCATTGGGCTCACTGTTTTTTCCGTTGTTGCCTGCATCTTCTGTTTCACAGCATGCTGCCTGAGAAATGTGGTAAGTGTTCTGCACAGCCTTCTTCAAAGGCTCCTAACCTGTCCCTGCGAGATGGAGCGACATTTGGGCTTTCGTTTGTGAGATGCAGAGTCAGTAACACCCTCGCACACCTACGGAGTCAGCACGTCGAATGGAAACTGCTTTGATGAACAAATTTGAGCCATTTATTTACGACCGGAATTCAGTCACCGGTGACAGCAGTTTACTTTCAATTTCTCTAAGACAGAGCTGCTTATCGATTTAAAGACCTGGAGCTTGAGGAAAGGGAGGGGGGGGGAACTTTGTGAACATCAGCAAAAACGACCCGAGGAAGCAATCCCCCTTATTGCTTCCTTCCAAAGGAGAAACAAATAACTGTGGTCACCGGCCAGCTCTGAAGTCAATTGAGTGGTCATGATGAGAAGACAGTGAATTTAGTTTATTTCTTCTTTCACTCAATCTGGCAAAGTGCCTCAAAGTCCATTTTGGATTCTTCCTGTTTGAAAGTAGGCCTCAGGGCCAGGTTACATCTTGTTTTTCCTTCATAAGGAGACATAATAATAATAATAAATTTTATTTATATCCCGCCCTCCCCAGCCGAAGCCGGGCTCCGGGCAGCTAACAACAATAAAATAGTACAACATTCTAAAATCATTCATTATAAAATTAATTCAAATCAAATTGAGGGCAACCATTGGGCTAGAGATTCTGTGGAGATTGCCAAAGGAGGGAGTCAGGCTGTGCGCTGACCAAAGGCCTGGTGGAACAGCTCTGTCTTGCAGGGCCTGCAGAAAGATGTCAAGTCCCGCAGGGCCCTAGTCTCTTGTGACAGAGCGTTCCACCAGATCGGAGCCACAGCCGAAAAAGCCCTGGCTCTGGTTGAGGCCAGTCAAACCTCTCTTTGGCCTGGGACCTTCAAGATGTTTTTGTTTGAAGACCGTAAGGTCCTCCGTGGGACATACCAGGAGAGGCGGTCCCGTAGGCACGAGGGTCCTAGGCTGTATAGGGCTTTAAAGGTTAAAACCAGCACCTTAAACCTGATCCTGTACTCCGCCAGTGCAGCTGGTATAGCACCGGGTGAATGTGATCTCGCAGCGAGGATCTCGCTGGAGTTTCTGGGTCAGTCTCAAGGGCAGCCCCACGTAGAGACTAACATGTAGATGTTAGGTCAGGTGCCCCCCCTTTTTTGAGGGTGGAGATTGTGTACGTACACAAGGAAGCTTCCATTGATACCAGCTTCCTGATTTGCGTACACAAGGCCAAAAAGACAGACGGACGGAATGTGACATTCACACGTAACATTGTTCATCCATCCCAACACCAATCTGAATGTATGTGTGAATTGGTCCTTGGAGATGAACCGTAGCTTTAGCAAACCATAGAAAACCTAAGATGGGAAAGTTAAGTGTGTTGAAACCATAGCCATATCTATATACAGGCCTGGCCCACTTTGAGCAGCGAATCAGGACACACCTGCCTGGTCTATATGGATATATAGTGGTACCTTGGTTCTCAAACTTAATCCGTTCCAGAAGTCCTTTTCCAAAACAAAGCGTGCTTTCCCAAAGAAAGTAAAGCAAAACGGATTAATCCGTTCCAGACTTTTAAAAACAACCCCTAAAACAGCAATTTAACATGGATTTTACTATCTAACGAGACCATTGAGCCATAAAATGAAAGCAATAATCAATGTACTGTACTATGAAATAAATAAGACAGTATTGTAGATGATAAAATTTAAAATTATTATTATTTCTTACCTGCACGGATGATAGTCATTGTTTATCCATTTCTGCAGTCACACAATCAATCAGTAAGCTGAACTAGGTTCCACATGGTCATAAAAACAAATTAACTGAAAAAGCCTCAAAAACAAACAAACCAAAAAACAAAAAACCACGCAAAATAAATAGCAAAAACAAAAGCACCAAACTTAATCCATTCCAGAAGTCCATTTGACTTTTGAAATGTTTGAAAACCAAGGCGCAGCTTCTGATTGGTCCAGGTGCCCTGGAAGCAATAGCCGACAGCCACATCGGGCGTTTGGCTTCCGGGAAATGTTCAAAAACCGGAACACTTACTTCCGGGTTTTCAGCGTTTGAGAACCAAGGTAGCACTGTAGATGGAAATCAGCAATCTAAAATCTTTAATTTCTATTTCCAGGTTTGCCGCCATGTCACGAGCTCTCATGACTACAACAATGAATACATGTCCATGGCAGCAGTGAAGCCCATCTAACAACCCACCACTCAGAGGTAATACACAATTCTATCAGTGGCGTACGGACCATGGACTAGTGGGACTAGCCTAGCTCCCCCCTAGTTCCCTGCAGGACCTTTCTGTGTACCAGGCTCTGTGTATCTGTGTGCATGTGCCTCTCTCTCTCTCTCTCTCTCTCTCTTTTTTTCCGTCTCCCTCTCCCTCTCCCTCTCCCTCTGTAAAAGCTGAAAAACTGCATGACACTGCAAAGCAATACACACACATGAGGTGGAAGTGGCTACTTGAAGCAGAACTGCAGACCCTCTCATATTCATATATATATGTGTGTGTGTGTGTGTGTGTGTGTGTGTATATACCGTATTTTTTGCTCTATAAGATTCACTTTTTCCCTCCTAAAAAGTATGGGAAAATGTGTGTGTGTCTTATGGAGCGAATGCAGGCTGCGCAGCTATCCCAGAAGCCAGAACAGCAAGAGGGATCGCTGCTTTCGCTGCACAGCAATCCTTCTTGGAAGTGGTGAAGTGGTGCTTCAGGTTAAGAACAGTTTCAGGTTAAGAACAGACCTCTGGAACGAATTAAATACGTAAACAGAGGTACCACTATATCTATATCTATATCTATATCTATATCTATATCTATATCTATATCTATATCTATATCTATATCTATATCTATATTTCAGTTTTATACATTTCAATAGTTTTACAATAATCTTAACATTTCAGAACTTGACTTCCTCCCTCCCTCCTCTTTCTGCAATGCAGTTCTGCAGCTAAGTCACGTCCACAAAGATGCATTAGTGAAAATAACTAAAGAATGCGTTGTACTGAAGAAAACCGCATTGCAAAAATGTGTACAATAGGCAAAACTGCATCCACGGATGTGCATCTTAGCAGAGATTGGCACTAAAATGCCAGTGAGTTTTCATGAGGACTTGTTTAGAAATGAAGAAATCACAAGCTGACATGGAAATGTGAAGGATTGAATTTAAGACTATAAAAATGAGAAACTGAGAGACACCCAAATGCTAGCTGCTACCTCTGACATTTTATTAAACCATGGTCTCATTAATTGATTGAGGAGCGGATGTTATTTTTGGTCCATCAGGTGAAAAAGTAATATAATAGTCATTTTGGACTCACAGCTGTCCATGGAGGCACAGGTCAAATCTGTGTCCAGGGCAGCTGTTTACCAGCTCCATCTGGTACGCAGGCTGAGACCCTATCTGCCCGTGGACTGCCTTGCCAGAGTGGTGTATGATCTGGTTATCTCCCGCTTGGACTACTGCAATGCGCTCTACGTGGGGCTACCTTTGAAGGTGACCCGGAAACTACAACTAATCCAGAACGCGGCAGCTAGACTGGTGACTGGGAGCGGCCACAGAGACCACATAACACCGGTCTTGAAAGACCTACATTGGCTCCCAGTACGTTTCCGAGCACAATTCAAAGTGTTGGTGCTGACCTTTAAAGCCCTAAACGGCTTGGTCCAGTATACCTGAAGGAGCGTCTCCACCCCCATCGTTCTGCCCGGACACTGAGGTCCAGCGCCGAGGGCCTTCTGGCGGTTCCCTCACTGCAAGCAGCCAAGTTACAGGGAACCAGGCAGAGGGCCTTCTCAGTAGTGGCACCCGCCCTGTGGAATGCCCTCCCACCAGATGTCAAAGAGAACAACAACTACCAGACTTTTAGAAGACATCTGAAGGCAGCCCTGTTTAGGGAAGTTTTTAATGTTTGATGTATTATAGTATTTTAATATTTTTTTGGAAGCCGGCCAGATTGGCTGTGGAAGCCCAGCCAGATGGGCGGGGTATAAATAATAAATTATTATTATTATTATTATTATTATTATTATTATTATTAGATCCTTATGTCACAGGGCCTTTTAATTTCTTCCAGGTGGTTCAGAGCTTCAGTTTAAGGTGTGGCTTTTGGAGCGCAGCAGAGAGAGGACACTGAACAAGAAATCTCTGTCTACCTTGCAGTGTTCAGTTTGGACCTTGTGGTCACATGCTGACATCCGCTCAAGAAGAAAACTTCTCTTGCTGCAGCCTCATTTCCCTGTTGCGTATTGCCCAAACCATTCTTCATGTACGAAGCACCCAGAACATGCCCAAACTACATTGATCAAATTTAATGGGTCTGTGTTTGCTTTTTGAAGGGATTTTCTTTTTGCAGCTATTCGGAAAACAAGGCTTTCAGGGCCGGATTCAACTAAACAGAGGACTGTGTGCGCACTATATATTTAAAGCACATTTCTCTCTAAGAATCCTGGGAACTGTACTTTAGCCCTCACAAATAATCCCCAGCACCCTTTACAAACGAGAGGGACGGATTCAACTAAGCTGGCATGCTACCAGAAGCCAGAGCAAGGGCTTTCGCTTGCACCACAGGTCTTCCCCTTCTCCTCCCCGGTCTGGGCACCCCCAGCCCCTCCCCGAAATATGCTCCAGAGAATTGGGAGACCTCCCATAATAGCATGGCACGGGGGGAGGAGAGGGGGATCATTCCGTCAGAAAAGCTTTCGCTGATGGAACAGTCGGAAGAGATTGACGTCAAATTCCTCCCAAAACCTTTGATGGCAGGTTTCCTGTTCTCCATCTAGGGATGCAGGTGGTGCTGTGGGTTAAACCACAGAGCCTAGGACTTGCCGATCAGAAGGTCAGCAGTTCGAATCCCTGTGACGGGGTGAGCTCCCGTTGTGCAGTCCTAGCTCCGGCCAACCTAGCAGTTCGAAAGCACACCAGTGCAAGTAGATAAATAGGTACCGCTCCAGCAGGAAGGTAAACGGCATTTCTGTGCGCTGCTCTGGTTCTCCAGAAGCGGCTTAGTCATGCTGGCCACATGACCCAGAAGCTGTACTCTGGCTCCCTTGGCCAGTAAAGCGAGATGAACGCCGCAACCCCAGAGTCATCCGCGACTGGACCTAATGGTCAGGGGTCCCTTTACCTTTACCTTCCTGTTCTCCACTTTCCCAAACCCTAAGAGCTGAGATATATATATATCAGTGGACTCCAGTAAAATAACCAGCAGTATTATGCCATTATGCTGTGAGGTTGGACTATAGCCTCCTACTGAAGAATAAGAGATGACTGGAAGACACCTGAGACTTGTTGAGAACACTCCCAGCCCAAGCATTTGTGAGCAAAGCCTCTGCAGATCACCCTTTTGCGTTGCATGGAGGGTGAGGGCTGTTGTTTCTCTCCCCAAGGGGACAATTGTGGGACAATTGTGGGTCCTTTCTGGTGAGAGCCAGGAGCTTCAGGGGTGAGGAGTGTGTCATGTCGCCCCATGTCATGCAAACTCAAGTTAAGGAGACAGCACGGGACCTTTGAGCGCTTCTGCTACCTATAAATACACACTCCGGACAGAACCAGCCATGACCTGAGAGAGATGTTGGGGCATCTCCACCTTTCCTGGGGCTGCTTAAGAAAGAACAGCATGCTCTGAGGGAAGGCAGAGGTGAGGGAGCCAGGCAAGGGACTACACAAACCATCGACTTCCAGTTGGCTTCAGAGGACTCTGCCACTCTACGTTTTATGTAACATATTTGTTTGGGTGTTTGGAAATTGTAGACTGCCCTTGGATGACTTGGCAGAAAGGTAGTATCTTAACTGAATGAATGAATGTTTGATAGGTGGGGCTGATGGCCTCTGAGGTATTTTGGACGTGCTAGTTGTTGCTATGGTCCCCATGTGTTAGTTGCTTCCATTTGTATTGATGTTTAAGGGGGCATCTTATTCTTGTCTGTGCTGCTCTAAAATGTGGACATTTTTACTTTCTTTTTGTTGCATTTGACATTTATTTGCAGTATTTTTAGGATGTTGTAAACTGCTCCGAGGTTTCTGTAAAATATGAGGTGGATGAATAAAAAAATATGAGGTGAATGAATAAAAAACTCTGTTGCCGCTGTCTCCCGTACAAACCGCTGGCACGTGTTCCCCCCAAAGTTGCCCATGATGGAATGCATCCCCCCAAAACCCCACCCCACCTGCCCTAGACAGAAACCTTTGGCCGAATTTCTAGCTGGAACACCTAACAGAAGGGAAAAGCCCGTGAAAATGTGTTTCCTTGTGGAAAAATAAAGATCCCCATATTACTCTATGCGGACGACATGGTGATACTGTCTTTAACCAAGCAGGGCTTAAACAACATGCTCAGAGGGCTCATGACATATTGTGATACCAATTCCCTCAAAATCAATTTCGCCAAAACCAAAATTCTTACTTTTGGCACGAAAACTCGGAAGTCATTCTGGAACTTTGAGGGCCACTCTATTGAATATTGCTCAGCTTTCAAGTATTTGGGAATCACTTTTCAGCATGGGCTTAGCTGGTCAGCTCACCTAAATATGACCATCCTGGCTGCCCGCAGAACCATCAAAGCCTTGGAGAAATTCTTCTATGCAAAAGGCGGCCAGTTGGTTCCACCAATCAGAAAAGCATTTATTAGCAAAGTCCTCCCGATGTTACTGTATGGGGTTGAAATCTGGGGGTGGAATTTAAAAACACTACAACGACTGGAGATTCTACAAAACTCTTTTGCACGAAAGATACTGGGTCTCCCCAAGGGCTCGGTTGCTGCTCAGTTAAGAACAGAACTGGGCCTCCCCTCCATTGTTGCGAGAGCCCACATTAGAATTATTAGTTTTTATTGCAAATTAATCAATGCCCCAGGTTCCCTACTAGCCAGGCAAGCCTTTTTAACTTGTTCTCACTCCAACAAATGGTCCAAGGCCATGGAGTCTATTACTGTACGCTACTCCCTCCCAGAATTCGACACGTTGTCATCTTGGGACCAACATAAAATCCGGGCCTGGATTCTTATAAGAGATGAGGCCATGGACCGGGCACAGTCCACCTCAGCTCGCCTCTCCATGTGGCTCCCTAAAGTGAAAGTGGTAAGATCACTTGCCAACTACTTGATAGACCTGACGGAGCCCAATTTGAGAAGAGCGTTTACAATGGCCCGTTTTCATTCTATACCCACGGCCTTCCTGCAGGGGACCTACTCTAAGACCCCTATTACTCAGCGTCTATGTCCATGCACAATGAATGAAGTAGAGGACTTCATACATTTCTTTCTACTGCCCTATTTATGATCCAATAAGACCCAAGCTCCTCCTCTTGATCCCGTCCTCCATTGCATCTAAGGAAGACTGTCTGAAAGCACTTCTTGTGGACGCAAATCCCCAAATTTCACGTGGGGTGGCAATCTTCACAGTGCAGGCTCTGAAACTCAGGGCTACTCTGACAGGGTAGTGTGCCCTAGTCCTGGACCTGTTTAATTCTTTTATTACCTTTTTTAACTCAATGTGCTGAGCCTATTTTGGGGCCATTTTATGCTTTATTTATATCCGCATACTAGTTTTTTGGCGCTGGCAACCAAATCTCTGTATTATTGTCTTAGGGTGTTTTAAATGTCATTACGCCAGCAATATCGCTTTGAATTTTGCTTGGTTGCTTGTCCCCAACATTTTTGAGATATCAACGGGATCACAAGTTCATTGAGGACTGGGGAAAAATCTCTGAGTATTTGAGAAGTGTATGTGATGAGCAAACAATGCTAGTGGGTTTTAAAGAAGCTTTGTGAAAGAACAAGGAATATTGCAAGAATGCAAATATGTTCGTAAAGGTATTTTAAAAGGCGATACTAATTTTGGGAATGCGTAGATAATAAATTTAAATACGGATGATTGTCAGAGAAGCTGAGGAAAGTCCAAAAGAGAAAAATATGTTAATTGAGAATTGTTAATTGGAGATATTTGTGTAAAACTTAATAAAAAATTATTAACCCCCCCCCCAAAAAAAAATGTGTTTCCAGGCAAATTTGTGACACTGAGAGTCCTCTTTACATGGACAGTGCAGAAGATTGAAAAGAAATGTGCTGCATAACATACGATCAGGTGTTCTGGGGAAATTATCATAGGTCAATTCATCATGCAATGAGTTTGTTATCCGCTTGTTCAATTTATGTTGCTGACTCTATACTAGCATTATGCTATGCTCTATATATTGCTGTAACGCAGGCCTGAAATTTGTCTTCCTAGTTTAGCCATAGCCAAAGGCTTCCATTTAATAAATGGCATTGACTACTGAATGTGAACAGCTTGGGTTCAAATATTACGGCAGTCATCAAGAGGCCTGGGCTGGACAATATTTTTTAAAGCTAATTGATATGTGTAGATGCAATTTACAAATAATTGCTCTAATTTAAATAGATCCCACCATAGTGGACCTGGTAACTTGTCTGTGCTTGCTTATTTTCTTCTGCCCAGATGCTGCTACTGTTGGGCAGCTTCCAAGATCCTGCTGATCTCCATTCTTCTCAACATCTGTCTTTAACCTGAACTTGGACTGGACATCCCTTCAAACAGAGGACTATTTGAGGTCCTCGAGGACTGTTCTCTGTTAAAGTAGGGGATTTTCCATACTGGTCTCCCTGATGCTAGTCCAAACATCCTAACTAGTATATGACACTGGTTGTCAACAATGTGACATCACAATAACATGATGTCATGACCACAGCATGACCCCATATTGGACCCTTTCCCCCAGCACTGAATATTCCTCCACTGCTCCAGCGACTTCTGAGGCTCATGCGCTGGTTTGCAAGACCTCTTGCACATCAGTGGTGGAGTTATCTCCCGCTTGGACTACTGCAATGCGTTCTACGTGGGGATACCTTTGAAGGTGACCCGGAAACTACAACTAATCCAGAATGCGGCAGCTAGACGGGTGACTGGGGGCGGCCGCCGAGACCACATAACACCGGTCTTCATAGACCTACATTGGCTCCCAGTATGTTTCCGAGCACAATTCAAAGTGTTGGTGTTGACCTTTAAAGCCCTAAACGGCCTCGGTCCTGTATACCTGTAGGAGCGTCTCCACCCCCATCGTTCTGCCCAGACGCTGAGGTCCAGCGCCGAGGGCCTTCTGGCAGTTCCCTCATTGTGAAAAGCAAAGCTACAGGGAACCAGGCAGAGGGCCTTCTCGGTAGTGGCGCGCGCCCTGTGGAACGCCCTCCCATCAGATGTCAAAAACTACCTGACATTCAGAAGACATCAGGGAAGTTTTTAATGTGTGACATTTTAGTGTATTTTTTGTCTCTGTGGAAGCCGCCCAGAATGGCTGGGGAAACCCAGCCAGATGGGCGGGGTACAAATAAATTATTATTATTATTATTATTATTATTATTACCATGTAACATCCTAGCACAGGAAAGGGACACACACACTGGCCTAGAAACAGCATCTCCGCTTAGCGACAGGCCTCAGTTGTCATCCTCAAATCCCATCAGCTACTGTCTGACCACAACAGAATTAGGCTCTTGTGATCTCTGGGAATTTCAGACCATGTTTATGCTTCGAAGGGCCATTTCTGGTTGCAGATTTATGTAGCGCAACACTTTGCCGGCTCAGAGGCAAGGTCCATGCGTGAGAATCCCTCACTTCTGCCTGTGATAAGACAGCTTTGATACATATCGGATCACTTAAGTACAGAAGCTCTGCCGATAAGGGAGAGCTGAGATGCGTGTGCAGAATTGCTTTGAGGAAGGAAGGAGTTGTCTTGAGCTGATAAGAGAATTCAGAGGGTTTTAGAAAAGCGAGTTACAAGAATGAGGCCCGTGTAAGGACAACACGGGCTGATAAGGCTATCAGGGTCTCCTAACCCCAATGCTCGGTTCTGCCTCTGTGGTTGGAGGCTGTTGCTTCTGAAGACCAGCTGCTGGAAACTGAAGGAGAAGAGGGTGCCCTTAGGTTCTGATTCTGCTGGTGGGCTTCACATATGTAGGCACTTGGTTCGCCATTGTGAGAACAGGATGCTGGAGTAGATGGGGCCACTGGTCTGATCCATCAGGCTGCTCTTATATTCTTAATTTATCTTCCCCGAGGAAACACATGTTGGAAAGGAGGAGAAATGGGAGCCAATGGCATAATGGCATAATGGTAGGCGAACCTACAGGACCGCCTCTCCTGGTATGCCCCACGGAGGACCTTAACGTCCATATATAGCAACACCCTAGAGGAGAGGTCCCGGGCCCTAAGGAAGTTAGATTAGCCTCAACCAGAGCCAGGGCCTTCTCAACACTGGCTCCGGCCTGGTGGAATGCTCTGTCTCATGAGACCAGGGCCCTGCAGGATCTGATTTCTTTCCGCAGGGCCTGTAAGAGTTGTTCCGCCTGGCCTTTGGCTTGGAGTCAATTTGATTCCCTCCCCCTCTTTCTTTTTCCTTTCTCCTCCTGTGAAGAGATTGCACCCTAATGTTTTAATGTTGTATCTTAATCTTTTAAATTGTATTTTAATCAACTTGTTTTTATTATTGGTTGTTAGCCGCCCTGAGCCCGGTCTTGGCTGGGGAGGGCGGGGTATAAATAAAAGATTATTATTGTTGTTGTTGTTGTTCTTCTTCTTCTTCTTCTTCTTCTTCAGTCCAACATCCTGTTCTCACAGTGGCCAAACACATAAAAACAATTCATTACCCCCCCTACCAAATGTTGGAGAGGTTGTGAGGCTCTTGGCTCCTACAGGCATATGTGGTGGGACTGTATCACTATTAAAGCTTTGCGGGAGTCAGCATGTGCAAATACGTCTGTGCTTGTCAGCATCTTAATTTGGACCCAATGCTCTCTCTCTTGTCCCCGGAGACCGATAATGATCTGAATATCATACATAAAGAATCAGTGGCGTTCTTACTATCAGCCACTCAAACGAAGATTTCTGCTATATCAAAAACAGGGACTGGTTTCAGTGTATGGTGTTCGATAAACAGAGAGCCTCACTCCCTCTAAATGCATGGTTTGTGGGCAACTTGGTTGCATGCAACTTGGTTGCATAAGTTATGTAGAGAAATCCACCTCCTCAGCAAAACTTCCAGTGACACATGATTGATCTTCCGAGATATAATAAACCCACGAGAGAAGTCTGTTTGTTTATGTTTGTTATTTGGGGGTATTGTTTGGAAAGAATGCTTTTGGCTAATTTGTAGAACTTAACTTTTCTTTTCGGAGCCTGTGATCGGTAGTTCTTTTTTCCTTGCATCTCTGCACTTTTGTACTCCTCAGTTGTTAAAATCAATAATAGATA